CCAACTTCAATAACGAACCAAGAAAATAAAGTAATAGTAATAAATCAGATTACCGCATAAATTTAGGCTAATTCTTTCAAGCCAGCATTAGCTTAATTGTTATAAGCTTAACTAGCTTAACGGAGTTAATCTAGTTCAAGAATAATTTCATTAAGTTACTTATTGGATGATTTCTGTTTAACTGGGTTTGGAATATATTTGAGTTATTTTTGTTAAATTACACTTTTAATTATTCCTTTAAGACAGATTTTGGATATTTTCCTTTAAACTTGATTTGGGTTAAACATTTACAACTAGATTTAGCTTAATTTATTTAAGCTAGATGTGGACTGATTCTCTTGAGGCGGTTTCTAGTAAAGCACTGGTAAGTGGAGTTTGTTTTTCATTTTAACATACACGGATTAAGGTTACTCATAAACTTAAATAAAGGTCTTGTATTGTAGATCTACGTAAATTTGTAGATTGGGAAAAAAGGCTCGGTTTATAAAAGAATGAATTCTTAGAGTTAGAAAACAAAAACGGGTCGTCTCATTTACCTGCTGTATCTTAGTTCAACTAATGTAAAACTCAAAAGCTATCGGGCCATACATATGAGAGGCTTATATTTTTCACTGTATGCATTTGAAAGGTTTATACTACGAAAATAATGATTGATGGTTAGAATACATTTGATATTTTTAGATAAGACTAACATACTTGAAGATCTCTAGGTCTAAGGTCTTATCCTCTTCTTGAAAAATAAACGTTAAATCCAAACATAAGTTAAAAGTCAGAGACTGTAAAATTCCTTCTATTTGAAATAGCTTTGAATAATAAAGTGACATACGCAATATTTTAACATCTCTATCTTGTGTCCTTCACAACTAACTGTAACAGCTGCCAAAAATAAGATGAGTAAAGAAAATTGTTGCTTTGGGCGAGGTCTTCAGTCAGTTCTGTGGCATTGATGAGAAGGTCAAGCCTGGTTTCCTGTTTCTTCTACAACAGGTGTGTCCGGCTATATAAAGAGAACTGAATTCTATGATAAACAAAATTCCTCACGAAGCACGGAACTTTTTACTACCAACAATAACATGAAAGTAAGTATAATTTTTACTTGTATACTGAAGGTTCTCGCATTTTGCAATTGATAAGCTCGTATTACTCAGTATTTATTTAAACTTATCATTTAAGACCAACAGTTAATTTCTTCGAAGTGCTGGAAAAATTGCATCAATGAAAACAATATGAGCATGGTTTTCTGATACCTTATTAAACAATCTCATATATAATGTATCACAGAGTATAAATATAACTATGAAAGTTATTTTTAAATAAAAGTCCTAATATATTGCATATCCTTTAAGCATTATTAACCGTTGAATTGGTTTTGTTTTTCCCATGGCTTACAGTTGCTGATCCTATTCGCTTTGGCGGTCTCTAGCCAGGCTACTTTCTTCACATTCCCATACTATTACCACCCTTACTATTACCATGGACTAGGTACTAGCATTCAACATCGTTCTCAAGATGTGAGTTTTGTAACTTTTTCAAAATCAGAAATTCGAACAATTTTTTATAGTATTTAATGAAATAATTTATTTAATTGTATGTATTGTTCATTGATTACTGTTTGTATTCGTCATATTTAAATTAAGAAAATTAATTTTATGTTGTCGGTTTTCTGATTATATAATATTTTACAGTCCCTGGGTAATTACAACTTCGGTTACGATGAGGATCACTTAACTGGGGGCAGTTTTCGCAGGGAATCTGGTGACGGCCTCAGCAACGTCAAGATTGGTTCTTATGGTCTGAAGGACGCTGATGGTTCTATTCGTATCGTCGATTACGTCGCTGATTCTAATGGTTTCCGCGCTAAAATCAGAACCTCTGGTGATGTTCCTGAAAAGAACCCTGCTGACGTTGAAATCAGCAAGGCTGATGTTGTTGAGGTCAAGCCTGTTGAGGTAAAGCCCGCTATCCAGTACATCACACCTTATTTCTATAACTGGGCTTCTCCTTACTACGGTTGGACTTATCCTTTCTACAACTGGGCCCATCCTTACTACTCCCATTATTGGTAGTAAAAGCAGGATACCTTTCTTATCGTTAGAACCTTTTTTTGTTTGCCTTTAGCATAAGGGTAAAATTAGAATCATATTTTTATCTGTACAAATGTGTCTAATAGCGTCCAGATAGCATATTAACCCATGTGAGTACTCTGGCTTTAAATAAATTGTATACATAATAATCAATAATTGTCCAGTGTATTTTCTAACATTCTTCAGGTCCGAATTCAAGTATTTGATAATTTCGCCTACGTTTTTTTCAGATGAATATTTCATTTTGGGTAGTATAAGTGAATATTGTGCAAATTAGTGATTTCTACAAAGTTTATTTATAACAAGAACAAAATAAAAATAAACATAACTACTCACGACCAGTTAGTCATTAGTAGATTTATCAATTGCCCTCCTATTTTTAATACGATGTATTTTTTGAAAGATATCGATATTCGTTCATGAAGATTCAATGATATTAAAATCATATTACCATATTAAGTAAGAATATACTTAATACAAAATCACTTGTACGACTTATCTTAAGCGTAATAGTCAATACTGAAAGTGACCTGAAATCAGGAGTCTTTATTATATTACCTTAATTTCTAACGCAGCAGAAAAAACGTGGATTCGGTAGAACCAAATAGATGCGGTTTCTTGAAAAACGACATTATGCATAAGATAGCACAAAATTTAGGAAATAATTTCAATTACATTTTATTTTGCTTGGTATGGCAATTACTCAGTGACGTCTTAATCAAAAACCTTCATCAGCTTTCTTCTCCCACAAGTAAAATATACGATATTTTATAATCACCATCAAAAACCCTCATCAGCTTTCTTCTCCCACAAGTAAAATATACGATATTTTATAATCACCAGACAAAAACCCTCATCAGCTTTCTTCTCCCACAAGTAAAATATACGATATTTTATAATCACCAGACAAAGAAAAAAATAAAGCAGGTTATATTCTTCATCTTTTATCCGTAAGAACATTGTGAAATGTAGTTGTCCAGTTAATAATAAAGACGTTTTTCTCCATGGTTTTGTTGAATTTGATCGTAATAAACTCATTTGGAACAGTCATGTCAGTTTTTAATATATCAAGGTATTAACATTTCCGAAAAATAAAATTTTAAAGCATAATATTTCTTATCTTTTTTAACACTTCTAATTCTTGAAAATTGTTAAGGAACCAGATATAAAAAGCCTAATAGTAATGTCTAATGAAAGGTAAATTAATTACAACAATGCTTCGCCAACTTAAAAAAATAATCATTCCAATAATAACAATTGTTTTTGTAACTATTGACTAAATACCTTCCTACCACTGCTGTGTTTGTTACGTCCCAGTCGGCTTAATGAGGAAACGTACCGTCGGCAATGGATGTGACGAACCTAGCGTGACTGGAATACTATTATTATACTCTCTTCTAATTCTTGAAAATCCTAATACCTAATGGCAAGTAAATTAATTATAATCATCGTTCGCCAACTTGAAAATGGGTTCATATAATAAAATTTATTTTCTTAATAATTTTTTACAAAAATACGTCTACTTTTATTGAAAATAAAGGCATCAGGTTTTGTGTTAGTTGTTTCCAATTCAACCATTTTACGACTCTTGAAGGTTGAACGTCATTAACTGATCGATAAGTAAACCTGTTTTCGGATTTTAATTGTTGTACTAGACTTTGGTAATATTGTTGACGTCATCTTACTCGATTCTTCTACGGTTTCTCATTGAGTGTAATACTGTTGTCACTAGAAGGCTAGATATTTATAGTTTTTCTGTCGCGTGTTATATATATGTGCAGATGCAGAGAGGAAGTCAAGAAAGCAAGTAAAATGAAAAATAATTAGAAAGATTTAGATTGAGTTATTGTTAGTTCAGCCGGCGATTTCTGAAGAAGTTAAAATAATGTTACGTCTCTGTGTTCGTTTGTCAATTTCTCGTATAATTTCTTTCGGATGAAACTTTAGCGATACAAGTCCTTTCTTAAATAAAACTAGTTTATTCTTTCTCAATACAACTTTGCAATACACTTAATTTCCACAGTCACTTTAACTTAAACACATGCTATAATTCACAACGATTTACACACTTTACTTACGGCTTGACTCGATTATTGGTCTCTATCTCCCTGTCTGCTATTCAATTATCTATCCCGTCACTTCTCGCCAGTCTTATATATACAAAACAGAGGGCATCTGGCAAACACTCGAGCCTTCAGGAACGTTCGAGATACTCATTACGTGTTACCAGCGTCACCTGACTTCCGCTGTCATAACACTGCCCCTTCCTTAGTACTTGTTTGTCCCGTAACTAATAGGCCACTTAAATTAAACCAATAGATAACTAACAATAAC